ATGAATTATGATTACACTGGGTCCAACAACTTCACTCAGCCAAGAACTGTATCAATGAACCTAATGCGATTTCTTTTCGCTAGCGCAGTTTTTATGCATTTTGTACTTGTTGGCAGGAAAAACGAGGTAACGGAATCCCAAATGGAACCGGAAGTCAATCACAATTACTGCGGGCAGTTGCTGGGAGTGTGAACACAATGCATGTTTTCTGTTTTTATGTTTGTGATATGTGTAATGAACTTTGATTTTTCGCTCCAGAAATTCTTCCGGATGATATTTATCCGGAAGCTGCCTACGGACAACAGTGGAATGCAGTACTTGAATTGAAATCTTGCGGTACTTGAACTGAGATCTTCTGGAACTAGAATTGAGATCTTCTGGTGTACTTATGGCAAGTGACGTCCCGTTAATGAAAATGTGCCGAAGGGTTTTTATGAATACAATAACTAGAAGATTTTTAAACTAAAGGTCTAAAAGGTTCTAAACTAAAAGTTTAAAACTTTACTTAAACTCATTAAAATAGCAAATTTAATGAGATTAAGAGCAATGAAATTAAATTTTCTTGAAGTATTTAAAACGTTTTGAATAAAATTTAATTCCGTCTTTTTACTTATTTTATTTGTGCAAGTTAGTAAATGTAAATGTTGTCTATCTTCCTTAAGTTCCCGGGGATCAGAGCTTTAAATAATAATAAAATTCAACCTCAGTTTGACGTTGACTTGAAATAAAAGAGTACACTTTGAGAGCAGTATTTTGAAATCAAACTGATGAAAGAGAAGATTTTATTTCTATTTTAGGTTGTTTCATTGTGTTGTTGATACCGTTACGCTTTTAAAAGACAAAAACGTTTAAATTAACATTTTATCAAGCATGAAATCTATCGATAATACCATTTAATTTAACTAGAATCCTAATCTCTTTATTCTGTTCCTTTCCTTGACATTTTAAAAGCGTATAATGGATGAATCGAATGTATAGAAGAATTATTTTTGCATGTCAAAGTGTTACTCAAATGCTAAATAATTTTCTAACTGCTAAGAAGTTTCTTTCCTTTTTGCTACGTATAAAGCATTTTTTTTTGAGTACCAGGATATATATGTGAGTTATAGATTGAAAACGGCTGCCTTAATCTTGTGTTGCGTAGAGAATTTGTCTGATAACGGTATAAAAACTAGGTGAATGATTTTCTGATTTATAGAAATTTTAATTTTATTTGATTCTGAATTATTTATTTTAAGGCTTTAATTTTGGGGAAAAACAGATGCTTCTGGGAATATTTATTTAGTTTAAAAGAATATTATTTATTTTCCTCTATTTGCAAATCTTGTACAAACTTTGATTCATTGTGAAAGAAGCAGGGAAAGGGAGGCAATTTTTGCCAAGCCATGATTTCGCGCGCTTTGTCCTTTAGAATGTTCTAGAAGGATTTTCATTGTTAGTTGACCTTAAGAGAGGAAGTACGTGACAAAAGGTCAAAGGTTGCTACTTGTCTTTCAATGTAAGTCATTCAGGTTTTTGGCGATTGAGGGTCCGGTTGTTGGCTAAGTGAAGAAGGGCGCGCATGCGCGATCACCCTTATTTCCGCATTCTGGAGTTGAAAACGCAAATTTTGCCAAAATTAAGGGGGCGATAAGTGAAGCCATAGTGGGAGCCCGCGTTTGTGAAGGAGACGAAGGAAATTCGAGTTGGATTCACTCACTTACTGACTGGCGTGTGGAACTTACTTGGGACGTTACTCGTGAAGCTTGCTCTTGGGATGAGTAAGAACAGGCGAGCCGTAATTGCCTAGAAAAAACGTTTCTGGCCGGAAGCTGCAAACACGCTCCCTTGCCGCGTTCTGGTAAAGAGGCGAAATTTGAACGAGTTACCCGCGTGTTGACTTAGGACTTTCAGGACCAAGCGGATAGCCGTCCTGGGCAGCAGTGCTCCTGTTTCTGTTTTACAGAGGTAAAATTAGTTTCGTCACTATGAAAACCAGTTACCTGCGTGTTGACTTTAGACTTTCAAGACCAAGCGGATAGCCGTCCTGGGCAGCAGTGCTCCTGTTTCTGTTCTACAGTGGTAAAATACCGTCGACAGTATGAGAACCAGTGTAAAGATGAGCCCGGCCGACGTCAACGCTTATTAAGATACGAGTCCTCCACTTCAAGATGTCCAACCAAGTTAAGTGCTATTTTTTTGTGTTTGAACTTTGAGTGGGTTTTCAATAATTTTTCTTGGAATGTAAAAACAGCGTCGACTCTTAAATTAATTCTCAGGCTTTAAATTGTTTCCCTTTCCCCTTTTAAATTACCAAGACAACCTTAAGTGTTTTTATATGAATTTAAATGGAAAAAAAAAGTAAGTAAATGACAAATTGATGAATTCTCACTTAGACTCTCTGATGAGGTTAAGATTTTATTTTATTGGTTATGTAATTCGAATAAACTGATATTTAGTCTGGAAACCTATTACAGTATGTTTCTTTATATATTTAATATGTTTTTCCTATATATCTTGTATATGTTTTTCTTATGTTTACGATCCTTTTCACGGCGCGGTCCCGGGATGCAATTTTTTCACAACGCAAAAATGCTTTAAAAAATTCACTATACGATCACTAAAAGTTTGGTAATTAGCAAAAATTCTTAAGAGTTTAGTTTCCTTAGAAGAGGAAGTAGAAACCTTTCACGGCAAGTAGGTTCATATTTAACATTTAACATATAGGAATTTCAGATATAACAATGGTACCTTGAAGTAAAGCTATTTAACCTTGGTGCCGAAACTTCTATATAACACTTGTCAACGCTCTGGTTTGCTCTTAAAGTAATCTATTATGGGATTATTTACTCATAAGGCAATCAGATAAAGGTTTATTATGTGAAATTCATCCCCGTTCTGACCAACAGCATTTCGAAGAATTTTGATAAAGAACACATGCCAGAAAGGAAATGTTAATTTATGATTACTAGGGAAGTATTTTGTAATAGGAAACTGTCGCTATATCTTGTAAAACCTTCACTGCATATGGCAGTTCCACAGAGCCATAACCTATATTAAAAAAAGTCAATTTAATGATAATAAAAATAACTAATGTGTAGCTAAATAAGTATTATATTCTGTAATTTTAACCTGATAAATATGTTTACAATGTCAAAAACGCTGTTACGCAAGAATAAATTTTGCATTAATAAGGGAATAACATTTAATGTTGTTAAAGTAGTGAATTTATTACCCCAGTGATACACAAATAACTAAACATTTGAACTGATAGTCAAAATTACTGCAGGTTTCTAGGAAATATCTTCGCTTCATTGACGATTAAATTTAAGTACATTAAAAAAAAAAAAAGAAAAAGAAAAAACCTGAAAGTGTTCAGATTTTAACGATCGCCCAAAAGGATTTGTTAAGCACTCCTCCTTTTCATAGTCAGATGATGGCTTGCAAAACATTTTTTTTCTTTTAATTATTAACGTTTTTTCTGTTAACTTTATTTAAACGTTCTTGCGTCACATAAAATTCAATTCAATTCACCAAAATCCCAAAATAATTAAAAACAGCATATCTTTAGAATCACCGACAGGCAGTCTCGGGATAAAAATATCTTATTCTGTGCAATGTTCTCACTACTCGCTTTCGCCCACCAGCGGCCGAGCGGTAAAGACGCTGAACACTGGTAGTTCGGTCTGAGGTTCGAATCCCGCGAACGGGCTGGCTGCATGGGCGTTTTCGTGGTTTTTCCCCATGTGTAACGTGTATACGAGCCAGTTTCCCTTAGAAAGTCCTCCACGAAAGGCATCCCTCCCTTTAGGCAGATAGCCCTCGTGTGCTTTGCCATAATTAAATACACACACACACACTACTCGCTTTCATATCGTTGAGTTTATTGATCATGAATTTATTAAAAATTTCAAAAATATGAAATATAAAATTCGAATTTCAAAATTCGGGCTTCCAGGTGCACATGTTCAACTGGAAAACAACATTATAAAAATGTATTGGCTCTAGGTACCATAGATTTTTCACAATGCGAGGAACATACATACATGCCGATTCTTCCCTATTTAATTTCTTTAAAGATAATACAGGGCGATAGTATCTAGTGGCAATAACTTGAAAAGTGATTCACAGTTTATAGTGGATGACACAAAATCCCTTTTCGAGACTAACAGCCGATACGGACTAACCAGAGCCAGATTTAGACTTGATAAAGCCCTAAGCTATCTGAGATATGTGGCCCTTTATAAGTCCGGTATAATATATTTTAATACTATTTATACTATATTAAAATTTTTGGGGGGTTTCCAAGAAAGTGTGGATCCTAAGCTATAGCTTGTGTAGTTTATACGTAAATCTGGCCCTGGGGCTAACGCAATTTTGGGCTAAAATGTAATAATTTTTAAGGTGAAAAAGGAGATGAAGCTTTTCGGATTGTTTGTATAAGATAAAGTACACGAGTTTTTTTATCTTAATCAAAGAACTTTATCTTACTTTATCTTTCAACGGTTACTTTATCTTATCAAAATAAGATAAAATACGCGAGTTCTTTATCTTATTCAAATAACTTTATCTTTATCTTTTAACGTGTACTTTATCTTATTCAAATAATTTAAAGTGCGTAAGGGAGGTATGCCTTCGGAAAGGATTTTTGAAGAAAACTGGCATATAGTTGACGTTATATATTGGGAAAACCGTAAAAAGCAACTTTACAGCCAGTCCGCCTGCCTAAGATCACACCAGCGTCGAATTTTTAGCATTTAACAGGAATTAACCCTTCAGCCATTGCTGGGGCCTTTTCGGATTAGAAGACGTGAAAAGGATGTCCTCGTCGGTATTCCGATTTCTAATCAGAAGTGCTACCATTTAGACCAAGTAAACACGCGTGAGGAAATGATTAATTTCTTATAACGTAAAGAGTAATTTTTTTAAAATTAATTATGTACTATATATTTTGCGGCACAAGTTGAAAAATTGCAATATGAGATCACATTTCTTTCCATATAAAACGAAAAGTTACTCACCAGTATAGTCGTTATGACTAACGTTTTGTTTCTGAGACTGTTAGATACTTCTTCTAACTCCCGAGAATAGTTACCAGTCTTACGAATTTGCCCCTCCGAGTTATGTTCCCATTCTCCAACCTAAAAGTAGAAAAAGCTATGGTACTTATCAATCATACAAAACACATATACACAAAGCATAAAGGTTATTTGAAAATGAAATAAGTTTTTAATGCTATGTTTCTTTCTAAAATAAAGCATATTTTTATACGGCAAGAAGATTGTTGGTGTTACATTTTGCATGATGCAAGTTGTGAGTTATTGTAGTTTGCAGGTTTTAGTTTGAGTTTTGTAGCTTGTAGTTTGAGTTTTTGCAGTCTGTTTTGTTTTGAGACTTGTTGAGCAGGATCGTTAATATTTTCTTTCGTGAGTTTGAGTATTAGGTGAGTTTGAATAGGATAGGTGAATTTTTGTAGTTTGTTAGTTTTTGTAGGAAAGGGCTTGAGAGTCCTCGAAAATCCAAGTCCCATTGAATCTCAAGAAAGATTGGAAATTCGAAAACTCGAATTTTCAAGCTTTTCCGTAATTTGAATTTTTGGGATGGGCTTGAGAGTCCTCGAACATCCAAACCTCATGAATATTGACAAGGATTCAAACCTCATGAATATTGACAAGGATTCAAAATTCGAAAACTCGAATTTAAAAGGTTTTTAGTCATTCGGATTTTTCGAATCCTAACCTAGAATGCCACTGAAGTTTTAAATTCAAAACCTTGGAAGATTTGTTTTGTTGTAAACCCTTCCTTGTAGAGCTATTAAGTAATTTAGAAGCAGGAAAGATAAGTGATAGGTTAAGTAACGGGGGACGTGGGCACTATCTCTTTACCATTGTGGTTAATCAGTACAGCACCGCGCCCACCATTATTTAGAGAACAGCATTAACATATGTAACTAGTATTACAAATAAAGCATGGTACGATGTACATAGAAGGAGTAATTACATCTAGAAGAATAGGATTTAAACTATATAACATCTTCTCTCTCTATATATAAGCGGCTAAAGTGTGTGTCGCCGATAGTTTATTGTTGCCAGTGGCAGTTTTTAATTAATATCTCGGCCGATTAAAGTCGTACAAAGATGAGAATGGTATCGATGGATTCGAAGAATTTTTTGGAATCCGAGGATACGCGTCTCGAATTTCAACTCGGCGCCGTTCCGTAGATATTCGAGAAAAAGGAATTTGGCACGTAGCCAAATCTCTCTAATAGGGAAAACCCAAGAAAGAAAGTGGAAAATGTAGGGAAAACGTAGGGGAAAATTAGTTTTTAATTAATATCTTTGCTAATTAAAGTCCCACGAAGACGAGAATGGTCAAAATGGCGTGCCACGGACCTGCGAAATCCAACGGTATGCTTCGCTAAGCCGTTCGAAGCCATTTTCGCTAAGCCGTTCCAGGCGGAAATTATGTTACTTCACCCCATATATATATGCGGCTTAAGTGTATTTGTCGCCGATAGTTTATTGGTTGCTTGCATAACTGTACTTGCCAAACGGGTGAAGTTGCCACGGCACAGGGTTGCCTTTTCAATTGAGACGTAGACAATTTTCTGTAAAACTTGCCTTTGCTATGACCATCTATAAGTCTCAGGGCCAAACGCTTAAGCGCGTTGGCATTTTTTTACCTGCTGCATTTGGACACGGTCAACTTTATGTTGCATGTTCAAGAGTTCGTGAAAGAAGGGCGTAAAATTAAAAATAATTGATTGTCACCTGCGAGGCGAGCTTAAAAATGCTGGAAAGATCTACACAAGAAATGTTATGTACAAAGAGATCTCTGACATGTGAATTAACGTTTTATTATTTAAATCACCTTTATTTATTGAGCTAGCGATCGCTTTAAAAAAGTGTACCGCCAGTGGTTTCCTTCATTGCACTTTACAATTAAGCAATTAAGCAATTAAGCAAGGGGTACCCCGTGGGGCAGTAAGCAAAGGGGCGTCCTCGCCGCCTGTCCTGTGTAATTCAGTTTAAATTAGCAGACACCTTTGCACAAATTATTTTAATTGCAATTTATAATATCTAGAACAGCGGTCATTTCGTATGACCACCGGGCGTTCTAGTATGTAATATTTACAGATTGTTGTGCATCCACACTACCTTCACAAGTGATGCTATACCAGAGGTACATATACATACGCATACTAAAAATGCGTGCACATATTATGTGACGTATAAGATAAAAATAGTACACTAGTTCAATGTAGAAATGCGGATGTAATACATAGAGCAAAACGCAGTAATGGAATGTACAGTCATACGTATGAGACATAGGTATAAGTCATGCGATACAGTCAAACGCTAATAAATAACTTGCAAATTACTATATGGTGCAACTACTATATGAGAAGAGATTGCAATGTTACAGTTGAAAAATTAATACAACATGTACATTTTTATATAGTGTTACTATTGCGGCATGAAACGATGTACATAGCATTAGTAATTACATCTCGGGGGGAGGGAGATATAAACAATATAACATATACAGATTGTTATGCGACCAGATGACATTCGCAATAGTGATGTTATACCAGAGGTACGGATATATGTTGGACGATTTGTACGACTTGCATTACATGTGAGACTACGAGCTAAATGATACAATACAGTTATCATACAAAGAACAGGTTACAATATAATTTACAGACTAATTATAACAACGCTGTTTATGTGAACTAAAACATAAAGTACAATAAATACATATCTGGATTAACATGTTACTGATATTCTGGAGTAAATACATTCAAGGGTATAGTGTATATAAAGACATTCAAAATACTATATACAAGTTAAATAAAAACATATAATTACCATACAAAATACGAGTTAGAAGATTACTGAAAAATTAATTATTACATTTCAATAGTATAAACAGTACGTTTCAGTAGTAAGTGTATTTCAGTAGTAAATACACTTCCATAGTAAAGTGCGCGAAATATCTTCGAGTGAGTACAAATCAGGGCTAAAAGCAGGAAAGATGAAAAATATGCAACGCCTTCGCCGGGAATCTAACCACGTACCTCTGGAATACGCGCTCAACGTGCAGACCACCGCACCGCGAAGGTATGCTAGGAAGGCGGGAGAAATACCTTACATACTCCTCCTTTTAAAGAGCGACTGGGGTTTTTAGGGGATCCAATCCCAATATGGTGTGAGAGATTATTATTATCAACCTTACCCTTATTTTCTTATTATTATTATATTATTATTATTATTATTATTATTATTATTATTATTATTATTATTATTATTTATTATTATTATTATTATTATTGGAATCAGGGGAAATGAAAAATGAGCAAAGCCCTTGCCGGGAATGGAACAAAGGACCTCTGAAATACGCCCCCAGCATGCTGACCATTACACTACGAAGGCATGCTAAGAAGGCGGAAGAAATACCGTTTTTTAAAGGGCGACTGCGGTTTAGGGGACCCAATCGCCAAATCCTAGGTGTCCAGAATCATCATCCACCAACCGTTAAGTTCGGGGACCACTGTAGAGATATTTGTTTTTTTTTTTTTGGAAGCAAGAACGATGAAAAATAAGCAGTGCTCTCGCCGGGAATCGAACCACGGAGCTCTGGAATACGCGTCAAGTATGCTGACCACTACATTAAGAAGGCATGCTAAGAAGGCGGCAGATATACCTTATAATAGAAGTGTTTTAAATGAGAAAAATATTTTGGCAATATCAAATAAAATATTAATTTTGGACAAACAACGAAATCTAACATTTAACGCGGTCTCCCGTTCCTATAATGATGTTTGAGAAAGCTGAAATACGATAAGATTTGAAATATGACACCCGAAATTTTTTGTGATTACAATACTTCCTTTACTTCGTAAGAGATAATAAAAAAAAGCTTGTGTATATTAAAATTATTGATTGAAATAAAACTTGAATTTGACTAAAAAGAAATTTAAGAATGCATTTTCTAAAGCCCGTCTGTGTTTAATTTGATATACTCGTTGTGAGAAAATAAAGTTATGAAAAGTTTGACTTCCCGTACCAGAAAAATGGATCAGGATATTGAATTTAAAACATTTGCAATTTTTGATGTCTTTTTCAACTTGCTTTGAAGGATCGGTTAATTGAGTTGGAATAACTTGAAGCAAAAGTTTAAATGAGGTGCAGCAAAAAATGAGTATAATTTAACAGGCCGTACAAGGAAGCCATATGGTGTCCTTATTAGAATTTTTTTTTTATTCTGTTTCTGATAGAAAGACTGAAGATATATAATGCATCACGTATATAATCTTTTTATGTTAGTTGTGGAATTTAATTATGAGAGCATGTATTATACTTGTATGTTAGACAAAAAACTTAATTATTTAAATTTTTGTTATCATAATAGTGTTACGGTTTTTGTATTTAGTTGCTATTTTTAGTAGAATTGTAATTAAAGTTGTTTCATTTCTCCGTGCAATGCAGCACATGACGAGTTTTAAGAGAACGCTGCGCCGAAAAAGTAAAAATGCAGGAGCACGCGCATTTAATAATAGATACCTCGTAATTGTACTCTTTTGCTTTCCGGAAACCTGGAGAAAACACCAGAATGTTCTCGTGCATGATTAAAAAGCTTATAAAAGCCGAAGAAAAACATCTCAGTTCAGTTGTTTACTAAGTTTTTGTTATTGATTTCAGCAAGTTGAATTCGAGATGAGATGGGATGAGCTTTCTCTGAGCTCGAATTGTGTTCTATTTAACTTTTTAGTAGTTTAAAATGATAACTGTGTGATACTGTGATATTGTACGAATATCTGCGAGGAAAAATTTCAGCATTTTGTTTTATTTCTTGTGATAAGAATAAATTTATTAACTTTTTATCAGACCTCTGCTTTCAGTCTATTACGAACCTGTTCGCACGCAACAATATATAAAAAGCAAGATTATAAATATTCAAGTGAGGAGTTTCCTACCAGAGGGGAATTCCTCCCAGAGGGGATTTTACAGTTTCACGGGAGGGGGAATGTGGTGAACCTTTTGTTTAGCTGTTAAATAATTAGCTTAAGTTCATGAATATGAAAAAGTACTTAAATTGAAGTTTGGGTATTTATCAATGGTTTCAACAATTTTG